AACATAATACAAACTTTAGAGCGTAAGACCGTAACCGTAACCGTAAAAATGTAAACGTAAAAATTTAGAAATGTAACAAAATAAAACTGAAAAAAATGCTGAACAAAACGCAACATTAAGACGTAAGAATTTATGCGCTAGAGATAATAATATAAGAATGTTAACACGTTAGTGTCTAGTAATGGTAAACGTAAAAAACGTAAGAACGCAACCGTTAAAATGTAAACAAAAGTTTGTTAAATTATTATTTTTGTGAAAAAAATCCAAGAATTGAGAATTTTCATAAAAAAAAACGAAATAGAACGCAAACTTTAGAACGTAAGGACGCAAACATTAAAGTACGCAACCGTAAGAATGTAAATGTAAAAATATCGAAATATGAAAATAAAACTAAAAAAATGTTAAATAAAACGTAACCTTAAGACGTAAGAAATTAAGCGTAAGAGATAATAACATAAGAATGTTAGTCTAGTAATCGTAAACGTAAAAACGTAAGAACGCAACCGTCAAAATGTAAACAAAAGTTTGTAGAATTATTATTGTTTGTGAAAAACAAAAATCCAAGAATTAAGAATTTTTATTAAAAAAAAAAACATAACGCAAACTTTACAGCGTAAGGACCGTAACCGTAACCGTAAAAATGTAAACGTAAAAATTTAGAAACGTAACACAAAAAACATAAAAATAGAACTGAAAAAATGCTGAAAAAGTCGAATATGTACCTCTGAATAAGGCGGTGGCGGCTGATGGAAACTGTTACACCTCGAATACTGAGGCGGCGCATAGCAGGACCCATTCGAATCCGGCTCTGAAGCCCTTTCATCCCTTCCTGAATCCCTGCAACAGAAGCTCCCATGACTGTGTCGCCGCCACAACGAACAAGCACACAAAATTCCTGCAACAGTCGCCGTCACAGCGACCCAAAAATACCTAAAACCAACAATCCTCATCACAAATTCACAAAATTCCCATTTCCTTTACCAATGACCCAAAAACAAAGGATTGAAAAAATTCGCAGGAGGAATAGCAGGAGGACGATGCACTGCAGGAGTCAGCAGGAAGCAACAACCTTGTTTACAGCAATCTTTCGGTGGGGAACACGTGTAGTGGCCTCCATCGCAGTTTTTACCTAGAAGTTGCTGAAAAAATCACACATTTTGTGTTAAATGGGGCAAAATAAGCTCAAGGTCACACAATGTCAGAGATAGATCACGTGACAACTTTTCAAGGACACATTTTTTTTTATTTAATAAAAAAATTTTTTTCGTTTTTTATCGATTTGAACTTACAGTAGCTCAATGTCACACAGTGTCAGAGGTAGATCACGTGACAACTTTTCAAGGTCACATTTTTTTTATTTAATAAAAAAAAATTTCGTTTTTTATCGATTTGAACTTACAGTAGTTCAAGGTCACACAATGTCAGAGATAGATCACGTGATAACTTTTCAAGGTCACTTTTTTAATAAAAATATTTCGTTTTTTATCGATTTAGACTTACAGTAGCTCAAGGTCACACAATGTCAGAGATAGATCACGTGACAACTTTTCAAGGTCACATATTTTTTTTTATTAAAAAAAAGTTTTTTTTCGTTTTTTTTATCGATTTGGACTTACAGTAGCTCAAGGTCACACAATGTCAGAGATAGATCACGTGACAACTTTTCAAGGTCACATATTTTTTTTTATTAAAAAAAAGTTTTTTTTCGTTTTTTTTATCGATTTGGACTTACAGTAGTCATAAGTACTGGGAGAATAGTAAAGTTGCCAGACGCACAAGATAATATAAGTGTCGCATTGCACTTTTTCTCCAGTGTTGTCCCCCAGCAGGAATGGAAGACAATTATCTGAAACAGAATGAAATTTTTGCTCAAATATTCGGAAATTCGAGCGTTTTAGTGCAATCATAGTGAGACAAAGAGAGCGACGACCGGCGCCACGACGCTTGGCGCCGCTATTCTCTCCAAAGAAAATAACACAGTGGCCGTGAAAATCGGGAGGACGCCAGGACAACAAGYATAATTAGGGGGWTTTTCGAAAAAAAGCCATCTTCGAGTTCGAACAATGAGATTTTTTGTGTTTTGTTATTATGTATTYCAAAAAATTAATGGAAAATAAATTGGACATGAAAGTAATAAAACGTCAATTTTAAGTCTCGCTTTGTTTAACGACTCATTATTTCGCTAAAAATAGACAACTAATTTCAACCTTACGACAACGTCAATTTAAATATTTGTGTACGAAAATGTGCGTCGTAAGAATGTAACGAAAACGGAAAACTTAAGACGTAAGAATGTTAAAGTTAAAACGTAAACGTAAGATCATAAAAATTGTGTGTTGTAAGAATGTAGGAACTTAAGAATAAAAGTTAGACAAAAATTACGCAAAATTTAGAACGTAAGAACGCAAACTTAAGAGTTACGTTCTTACGTCCTAAAGTTTGCGTACGGTCATTTTAAAAAATCCACTAATTTAACGTAAAATAAATAAAGTCTGAGTTTTATAAAAATAAAACGTAAACTTTAATGCATAAGAACGTTAACATAGAAGTTAAGAACGTAAACTTAAGTACAGTAAAGACGCAACCATTAAGTATATGGAAATATCTAGAAAATTAAAGACGCAAAAACGTAAAAATAAATAAAATATTCTAAAGGCACAAAGAAGACGTAAGAACGCAAATTTATTTAAGTATTTAAGACTCCACGAATGTAATGTAATATAAAATCAAATTAAAGAAAAAATTGATAGTAAAACGCAAGCTTTAAGCCGTAAGAACGTTAACGTAAATATTTGGAATTTGTAAATATAAAACCGTAGAACGCAAACACAGAAACGTAACGTAAACGTGTAAAAATATGTTTTTTTCTTGAATTTTAGAACGTAAGGAAGCAAACGTAAAAGAATGTTAGTATAAAATATGTAAAAATAGTGAGTCAGAGACCGTAAACGTAAAACCGTAGAATTCTTGCGTATCGTAAGCACGTAGAATTATTAAAACGTAAGAACGCAAAACCTAAAAATTATTTAAAGTGTTGTAAGAACGTAGAAACGCAACAAAAACACCCAAAAATAAGTTAAAATAAGTGAGTTTTTGTTTGACTATGCGAAAATGTGTGACGTAAAAACGTAAGGATTTGGGAATATTTAAATGCTACAAAAATTAAAATAACCTGAGAAATATAAAACTAAAATTGGAAAAAAAAAAACAGTAAAACGCAAACTTTAAGCCGTAAGAATGTAAAATGTAAACGTAAAAAAAGTAAAATTTTGCATCAAATGAATGTAGTTGTAGTACGTAAAAACTTAGAGACAAAACGCAAGCTTTGAGCGTAAGAACGCAACGTATGGGCGTAAGAATAAAAAAATCTGAAACACAAATTTTATTGCGTAAGAACGCTAACGTAGCCGTTAAGATCTTAAAAACGTAAATATTTAAGAATCGTAAAAATTTCGTGCCGTAATAATGCAACCGTTAAAAAGTAAACGTAAAAACGTAATTAATTAATTAAACAATCTAATGACACAAACGTAAACTTTAGGACGTACGAACGCAAACATAAAAACGTAAGTGTAAAAGAATCCAGAAACAAAATAATCTGAGCATTATAAGAGTAGGTAAATAAAAGTAAAACGCAAACTTTAAAGCGTAAGGACGTAACATAAGGATGTTAACACCTAAATAGCTGCGCAACGTAGACCTAAGAACGCAATTAGAAAAATGTAAACGTAAGCTTGAAAAAAAGTGTTTCGTATTGAATGTTAGAGCGTAAGGACGCAAACGTAAGAGTTAAGAATATTAACACTAAAGTATATAAAAAAAAATGTGTTGCAACGACATACATACGTTAAAAAAGCTTCAAAAACTAAAAATAACAGTAAAAAAAGACTAAAACAAACTAATTGATTACATTTTCTGTTAACACTGAATTTGCAATTTTACGATTCATCACCTTAAATATTTGCAGTATGCGGAATTATGTAATAGATTTTTTCCAGTTTTGCGCAAAACAATCAATTAAATCGTGTCATTTAGTCCTTTTTTGGGTGACCCAAAACACAATCGATTTTTTCCCACCAAAACCTTAACCTACTTTCCACTTAATCAAAACGCAATTTTCCACCCTTAAACCCCACTTTTCGCGGTGGAAAAGCCAAAAAAAAAAACAAACAATGCGCCAATATAACAAAAAAAAACAAATTTGGCGCTTTTTACCCCTGAAAAAAAATCCTCACACACTCACCTTGATTTTGGCTGAAATTCGGCAAATTTTCGCACTTTTTCGCCCCCCAAAAACTCACAAATTCACACCAAACGTGAAATTTCCTCACTCAACTGAAACTGAGTCGTTTCAGCGACGCCATTGTGGAGGGGTGACTGAAACAGCGCCGCGTCGCGACGCTCCGCAGTGGCGTCTATCGCAGCGTCAAAACAAGACTTTAATTACCATAATTAAATTGGATGCAATTGGTGCGCAGTAAACAACCACAAGTAAAAATTTTACCGAATTTATTTAATTTAAGGTTTGAATTTGGCGCGTTAGGGGCGTTCCCGCAAACTTAAAACATTTGACAGACAAAATCCCCAAGTCAAGCCAACATTACTAGTAAACGAAATTGGGATTAATTAACTGTATTTTTGTTGTTTTAGTAGTTTTAAGTCAAAATTTTTGTCATTTAACAAAGCTTTGGTGGTGGTGTAAGCACTATTTTAATTATCGTTAGTTAAATTTAGTGTAATTAAACCAAATTATTAAATTTGAGATTTGAATTTGAAGAATTGATGAATTTTGCAACTTAAAAAATTTGACAGATGAAATTCCCCCAACATACACCAAATGCCCCGAAAAAAACTGTATTTATTTAATTAAAGTGTCTAAAATTGGTGTTAATTAATTGCATTTTTGTTGTTTTAGTAATTTTGGTCCAAAATTTTTGTTATCTACCGACGTCATTAGGGAGGAGTGACTGAAAGCACCGCGACGCCCTGTATGGCGTCTATGTCAGCGTCAAAACACGATTGTAATTACCATAATTAAATTGGGTGCAAGTAAACAAGTAAACATAATTGAATTTAAGAAAAATTTGAATTTCGCGCGTTAGGGTCGTGCCCACAACTTAAAGAATTTGATAAAGAAAATCCCCAAGTCGAGCCAACAACAAGCCTTGGTGAAGGAGTGAGGGAAACAGCGCCGCGACGCTTTGCAGTGGCGTCACAACACGGCTTTAATTATCATAATTATTAGTTGTTAAATTGAATTTGGGCGTTGGGGGTTTCAGGCAACTTAAAAACTGTGACCAGTGATGCCAGATTAGGGAATTTTTCCCTAGTTCTAGGGATTTTTTTGACAAAAAGGGAAAAAGGGATTTTTTTCAATATCTTTTAATATTCTAGGGATTTTTGTAATTTGCAATAAAAACCTAAAAATTTTACAGTCTTTTTTTACATTAAGCAATGACTGTAAAATATTTGCGCAGCTTTGATTTTTAAATACTTAAAAAAATACTTGCGAAGAATTCTGTCTAAAAAAAGGGATCTAATTTGTTATGATATAATAACTATGTATTGCC